TAATATAAGAAACCACTATAGGAATATTTCAATAGATATTCTGCTAGAAAACAATCAAAGGCATTATCTGCTGTGCTCCCGGATGTCCTTTATATGACTGGCTGAGTGATAAATAACCCTGAAAAGTCAGTCCCTGGAAAAAATTGTATTTTTCCTGATAAATTGTTATGCTTCCTTTAGCCCAGCGGTAGGAATAATGCAATCAATGTGTATACTTCACCTAGTCTCCCTGAAGATGAGCTAAACTTGTTTCTCAATTGCAATAAATAACCTATCCTTGGTGCCAAATTCATATTTTCCCTTTCTTTTATTTTAAACTTACAATTTTTTTTACAACATGTTATTTTACAATTTATTTTGAAATATGTTTAAATATATTTTAAATACAGGAGGCAGGGTTAATATATTAAGGCTGTGTCTTACAAGCCATTCCATGCTAGATTTCAAAACAAAAACAGCCTGGCCTAGAGCAGCACTGATCGAAGTAGAATGTGCAGAAGAATCACCTAATGATTTTATTAACATGCAGATTCTGATTCAGAGGGTCTGGAATGGAGCTGGAGGTTCCCTATTTCTACCAGGCTCCCAGACAAGGTCACTGCTAGTCTTTGCTAGTCCTTGCTAGTCCTCAGACCACACTTTGAGACAGGGTCTAACAAATGTTCTGCCCACGCATGAATGAGAAGTCAGTACAGGGGAAGCAGTAACTATAATGGAACCCGAAGGCATGAAAACCTTCAAAATGGTGAGGACCACAAACTAGAGCAAATAGGATCATCACACTTGTTTCAACCTTGAAAAGTCGAAATATCTTAAATCCAGTAGCAATATTAATTTAACTTTTTATAACCACCGTCCCATTCATGTTTTTCAAAGTGGTTGAATCTGATTCATGTGTGAGACATCCTACTATACACATCTAAATGCAATTCTGGTTGATAGGTTTCAGAAACCCCTATTATTTTGAATGTTTTATGAGGAAATGGGACAAGAAAAGAATACTCATTAAAAACTTGAAAAGTTTTCATGTTTTTCAAATGTTTACTAAACCTGTACTCCAGCACTATTTTGACCCCTCAACATCCAGTTCCCTTTTCCTTTTAATTTATTTATGCTGCTTTAATTCTGATTTTTCATTTTTATTCTTTTGGGGGGTAATTATTATGTAACTTGGAGGAATATTTAATTAGTGAATAAGGGAAAGAATCTGCATCGTTTGAAGAAAACTCATCGCTGTGATACCGGTTAAGGAAATATGTGGACATCAGTTAGTTTAAATTTTCTTTCTTTCCAGCTTATTTCCAAGTGAGAGCACCCCTCCGGCCATGGTATGTTGCATAACAAGAGTTTCTAGAATACTTCATGGTGAAGAAAAGGCCTCATTTTTCCAGTGTTACTCAGTTTTTACTGATTCTCTTATCGCCCATTGTCAAATGCACAGCAACGTTTCGTAGATACAGTAGGCAAAAAACCTGTATTTTGGTTAAAGTTAAAATTAACCAGTTATCTAATATACATAAAGAACTAGCTGAGTCACCACATAAATACAACAACATTCAAGATTTTTTTCTAGGTCAGAGGATTTAAAGCCAAGTGTACTAGTTTTCTATTGCTGCTGTAACAAATAACCATAAATTCAGTGGTTTATTATTTTATGGTCCTGGAGGTCAGAAGTCCAAAGTGGGTCTCACTAGGCGAAAATCAAGGTATCAGCAGAGCTGTGTTCCTTCTGGAGGCTCTAGGTGAGAATTTATTTCCTTGCCCTTTCCAGCCTGTAGGCGCCTCCCACATGCCTTGGCTGTTGGCCCATTCCTTCATCTTCAAAGCCAACAATGTTGCATGTCTCTGACTTTCTTCCACAGTCACATCTTCCTCCAACTGACTCTTCTCTTCTGCCTCCCTCCACTTTTAAGAAACTTTGTGGTAACACTGGACCCACATAGATAATTGGGGCAAATCTCCCTATTTGAAGGTCAGCTGATTAGCAACTTTAATTCCCCTTTGCCATGTAATCTAACATATTCACAAGTTCCAGGGATTAAGATGAAGACATTTTGGGGGGATCTATTTGCCCACCCTACAAAGACAATGTTCCATTTCTGCTTACTACCTTGAATTTTCCCAAAGCACGTTTAGTCCTATAGTCCTTCAATTCTAGGAAAAGGAGCTCTTCGGGAAATAACTGTAACAGGATGAGATTACTGACAGCAAGCACTTGCATTTCAGTTTTTAACCATGAGCTCTGGTCATAGTGGGATAGCTCTCAGACTCAAAGAAAGATACGGATATAGCTGGAATGGTCATTGCCACATAGCCATCTGCTCCTGGATACATGTAGCCTGAGATTCTCCACTTACATTCTGGTACACTAATGTATCATGGAATCGGACTGTGGCTGCCAGGATAAATGCCCTGACTCTCTGTACCCCAAGTTGGCTAGAAAAGGGGCCTTCTCACTGACGTTTTGAGAAGCTAAACCCTCTTCCAAAATTGCTCTGATGAGCTTAGAATCATTAAAATTGTCCAAGGCACTACATAACAAAGTGTATTCAGTTTTTTTAAAACACAAAAAAATGAAAAATTAAATGGGTGTATTATAGTAGCATAATCTTTTCATGCCATTACTAAAGATTGACATGCTGGTTGTTTTAACAGCTGTACAATGCTTAAGCTCTAAATCTCTAATAAAAAGAGTAACACTTTGCATGATTGTATTTTAAAATATATTCTAGACCTACTTTCTCACAGGGACCCTCAACTAAAGATTTATTATATTTCAATCAGAAGCCACGGGGAGAAAAAAGTTTGAATGATGAGCTGAAGGCCCTATGCAAATTGAACCTAAATATGAAATAGAGTAGAAGTTTCAAATTCGAATTTATGGGCTGGATTCTAATACACAAAAGTATATTTGTAGTGATTATTACTTACAATAGACAAGTCTGACCATCAGATGCTAAAATATAAACTGTATGGCAGTTTAAGCAGAGTTAGGCTGGCTCTCTTACAGTTTCATGTCACACAAAGGTTACGAGAGGTCTATTGTTTCTTCTGAGCCTTGTTTTTTGTAACACACAGGAAGCAAGGCCAATGTGAGAAGTCATCATCTCTCTCATGTACCCTCCATGTCCACTATTCTCACCTGCTGATTCCCTCCCCTGCTTCCCCAAAACAATATCTAAAGTAAAGGTGCTTCTGAGAACTGTTCGTAGTCCCTATGGCTCCAGTGGGGTCTCCATCAGTATTTCAGTTCCACACCGGTCCCTGGCAACACTCAAATGGGCCGTCTCTAAGTGAGAGCTGAAGGAACGGGATAAGGTAGTCATACAAAAGGAATTTTGTTCACATACCCAGTAAAAGAATTCTGAAAATCTAGGCACATATTTTTAAATAACATCTAAATATCTTTAATATAAGTTTGAACAGTTGAGAAGAGGACATGATTTCTAACGCTCTGATACATATTTATCAGAAACTCAGCTGTAGGTTTCACTTAGTCTATGGAAAAGGCCTGCTACCTGACATAACTGGTAGAGCCAATCTTTAGTGACAAGCCAATCAACACAATAAGACTTTCTGTCAAGACAAATCTGATTTCCTTTTTCAATCAAAGATGAAGATAGTTCTAGTGACAACCGTTGATCTGCTGAATGCTAAAAGGAACAGATAAATATAGCAAAGAGCCTTGTCACATGCTTGTCCCTTGGATGAATAGGGCAGAAAAAAGGAGAACTGACAGCATCACCCATGTTCAGAGGCAGATCAGTTTCAAGAAAGAGCTGGAAGTTGAGGAACCGAAAACTGAAACCCCTGAAACACTCTATGCTCTGGGCAGTCTTGGTGCCCAGTTTGGAGAGTGCTCAGGAAAACCTGTAAATTCCTCTCTGAAAGTATCTAACATGATACAAATTTAAAATGGCATTTCTATGCAAAAACCTTATGACTGCATTTCCTTGAGGGATCCTAAGACTGGAAATATCTTAAAATGGGTATCAAGTTCTCTTCATCAACATGGAGGGTCAACATTTAGGGATTATAATCTTGTTTCATTTAGCCAACCTCATGTTATGATCTTGGACGGACAGTTCTGGCGATCCAGGAGTTGATTCTACATTTTCTTTAGTCCTTGGAACTCCTCGCTTGTGTCTTAATTCTCTGACCATATTTGATCATCTTTTAGTGTGTGTTTGAGCCAGTCTTGGTTAACTTTCACCCTGAAGTTCCTAGTCTCCACCCCATGTCCTTATTTGGTCTTATGCTCATGTTCTGATTCTCTGGCCCTTTTAGTGCCAGAAGTTGATAAACTTTAAAAAAAAAACAAAAAAACAGAAAAACATCTGCAACTGCCAAGGCCATCGTGTTGGGCCAACAGAGGAGCTGCTTCTGCAAACTATTGTGAAATGTCTCCATGGGAAGATATGGAAATTGTAAAGCCACTCTGCAAAGGCATTTTGAAAATTGCTCTCTTCTAATGTTTCTGGGGGAGAAGGCTGGAAGTAAATTATTGACAATGGGCAAAAAAAGGTGCAAAGAAAACTTTATTAGGCGCTTTCTCTTCTTTATCAGGAGGACTTTGGTCCTTACAGAGGAAGCTCCAAGTAATTCGACAATACCCAGTTTCCTTCAGTTGCTGCAACTCGATCCCACGACGAGTGCTCTGGAAAGCACCTTGTGGGCGAATGGGTTTGAAGCCACTCTTGATCAAGGTCGTGTGATCCATTTGCTAAGTTGAGAATTTTCCCGAGTCACCTCTTACAAGCAGGTGTGTGTTGCCCTCCAAACAGCCCACCACCTGGCTGCGCCCCACCTCCGCTCGTGCCCTGGCTGCTAGGTAACACTGGGTGCTTCCGAAGGTGCCGCTGCGGGGGCAGCCAGGCCTTGAGACGCAGTCACTGGGGAAGATGCTGAAGGGGCGCGCGCGCGCAGGTGTTCGCGCACCCACAAACACACACAGGGTCGGGGTGCGGGGTGGGGGACGGGGGTGGGGAGGATGGTCTTACCAGATCAATGAACGTCAGGAATTTCCAGCTCCCTCCGTAGGTCTGATGCGAGGGCATTTCGATAGCTTTGTAGTTGCACAGGATAGAG